GAGGAGCCCGGCCAAAGTTTCTTCTTAGTTTTCCCATTATTTTAAAATGCTACCTACTGCAGTAATCAAGTTATTTAAGTCATATGCACACCATATTCCAAGGAGTGGGGGGGGGGGGGGGGGGAGAGAGAGAGAGAGAGGTAGCTTAGCTGAACTCCTGTCCCTGGGAGATCTCCTGAGCAAGGCGGGGAGCGGTGGTGGTGGCATTCAGGGAAAGGGATTCTGCTGGTGCGAGGCACTTTGGAGAAAAGCCAGGGAGAATTCTGGGAAACCTCGCTAGCCCCCACTCCCACCTCCGCTGCCACTGACCTGTCCGAAGTGCCACCGCCAGAATTCCAAGCGAGGCGGGAAGCGGCGGCATTTGGGGCAGGGGATTCCGCTGGATGTTTGCAAATGGAGGGAAGGCTTTGGTCCTTCAGGCCTTCCCTCCGTTTGCCGTTTCCTTGCTGAAGCCTGCAGGGAGATTGCGTTAATGTAGGCTTCAGCAGTAAAAAGCAAAAAGCCTTTGTTGGCACCAGCAGAGGTTGGGAAGAGCATGTGTGTCCCTCTGAAGTCCCGTTCCTAAAGGCAAAGGCTTTTTGCAAAGGGCTGCCAAAGCCTACAGGAACGCAATCCTCAAGCGCTTTGCCGACGAAAAAGCAGCCCTGAAACTGCATGCAGCTTCTCAGGGCTGCTTTCTTGGCGCCAGAGGCCTCTTCAAGCTGATCTGGGGTGAGAAAGCAATGAATTTGTGAGCTAAACCAGGGAGTGAGTGTTGAGGTAATTCTCTGTTAGGAGAATGAGTGCATGCAGGGAGACGTATAGAGAATAGTGTTTGAATAATACACACAGAGCACACAGATACACTGTACAGTAAATGTAGGTTTTTACTTCCAGACAGTTTAAGCAAAGTTCAAGATAAGCAGTCCAAAAGTCATTCACAGGTAAATCAGTCAGTTTTCAATCCAGGGATAATCCAAATATCAAAGTCCAGTGTCAAAAAGCAGTTCAGTATCAGACTTACATCAAATCCAGTAATAGCAGTCAATTAGGAGGTACTGCAATACTTTCCAACAGAAGGGAACAGAGATACACTCACACTCTTCTGAGATTCAGACTAAAACAACCCAGGTTTCTGGCTCCATCTTATGGCCATTTGAAAAACCACACCCAACTACAGTTTTGCATTTTCTTAAAGATATAGTACTAAAATGTCTATCCTGGCTTATATATTTTTAACCCAAATACCTGTTAGGTGACTTATATTCCTAACAGTGAAGTTGTTCAATGTACGAGATTCACTCCCACAAATTCTCGAATTACTAATAAAATGGGAAGACTCCATCACATTTGTAACCCGAGGACTACCCGTATGCAGCAAGTTTTGCTGCTGATGGCCAGATAGGCATTATCAAACTAATATGTTGTCATTTTTTCCTTCCTCCTTCCCATCTAATACCATTACATATTTACCTACAAAAAATAGGCAAATCCTTAGTAGTCAAATTAAACAATCTCAGCTTGAGTTACAATCGGATATTAGAAATGAGATTCAAGCCTTCTCTATACTTATCACTTGGGTCCTCGTGTGGATTTTCAGGTGTGCAATAAGGCTGGAATGTTTCCTGAAGCACCATCCACACTCGGAACACTCAAATGGTTTCTCCCCTGTGTGTATAAGCATATGATTTAGAAGGCTAGTCCTAATACTGAAATCTTTCCCACAGTCTGGACACTCGTATGGTTTCTCTCCTGTGTGAATCCTCTGGTGTCTCACCAGGTTGGAATTCCGACTGAAACTTTTCCCACAATCAGGACATTCAAAGGATTTCTCTCCTGTGTGAGTCCTCTGGTGTAACATCAGGCTAGAACTGTGACTGAAACGTTTACAACAATAGGAGCATTCAAAGGTTTTCTCTCCTGTGTGAGTCCTCTGGTGTGTCACCAGGTTGGAATTGTAGTTGAAACTTTTACCAAAATCAGAACATTCAAAGGGTTTCTCTCCTGTGTGAGTTCTCTGGTGTCTCACCAGGCTGGAATTCCAACTGAAACTTTTCCCACAAAGAGGACATTCAAAGGGTTTCTCTCCTTTGTGAGTTCTCTGGTGTATCATCAGGCTAGAACTGTGACTGAAATTTTTATGACAATAGGAGCATTCAAAGGGTTTTTCTCCTGTGTGAGTCCTCTGGTGTTTCACCAGGCTGAAATTGTGACTGAAACTTTTCCCACAATCAGGACACTCAAAGGGTTTCTCTCCTGTATGAATCCTTTGGTGACCAATGAGGTTGGAATTCTGACTGAAACTTTTCCCACAATCAGGACATTTAAAAGGTTTTTCTCCTGTGTGAGTCCTCTGGTGTATCACCAAGCTAGAATTGTGACTGAAACTTTTCCCACAAACAGGACATTCAAAAGGTTTCTCCCCTGTGTGAGTTCTCTGGTGTGAAACGAGGTGAGAATTTCGACTGAAACTATTCCCACAGTTAGGACATTCAAAGGGCTTCTCTCCTGTGTGAGTTCTCTGGTGTCTCATGAGGCTGGAATTATCACAGAAACATTTTTCACAATCAGGACATGCAAACAGTTTTTCCTTGGTGTGAGTCCACATTGCCATACTCGCTAAAACATTTACCCCATTGGGAGCACTTGTAGGTCTTCTCTCCTGTGTGGTTCCTTCCATGAACCACAATGGAGTTGTTCTGATCAACGGTTTTGCCACATTCAGAATATTTGTACGGCTTTTCTCCAGTCTGGATCCTCTCAGGCATAATCAGCTGTGATTTACAAGTTGTATCTTCCCCACAACAGGCACGTCTATGGAACTTTTCCACAACTAATATTCTTGAGAAAGTAAAAAATATGAGTGATCCCTTGTTTAGTTGTGCTTTGATTCAAACCATTTTCTTCCTCCCAGAGGTAGGCCTGAAATACTGTCTGCTCTACGAGACTTTCCACTTGACCTTTTCCTGCCCAGTAACTTCCAGATATTTCTCTCTTTTGCTGAATGGAAAAATGATCTCCCTTGGCTTTTCATGTAACATATGCTTGAATTTCACACTCTACTTTTCCCAGCTACAAATCTCTTCTTGATTTTCTCTCGTTTTTCTCTCACCTGATGAGGAAGGTGAAAAATTGTGTAGCTCTCTGAAGGAAATGGAAAATAGTTTGATTTCTGGACTGACTTGCTTTGCTTTAATGTTGCTTGTTCTCCTCAGTTGTCCAGAGTGCTCTTATTGCCTTTCTCTTTGTCTATAAGATTCAAATAAAAGGGTATCTTTACTTCTGCATGAAATGGTTGCAGACGATGAGGAAAAAAAGAAAAAAGTTTACATTACAATGAAAAAGCAAGCATGCCACAATGCTCCAATAAGCTCTTACATTAATCATGATTCATTTGACACATCTAAGACTACCCAGATCCAAGTTCGAATATCCGTTCAATGACGAAATTCACCTGTTGACTGGATCAAATTCTTAACAGTGCAAAGGGTTCTTTTCAAATACAGTCAATTGAAAAAGAAACTACACCCCCTTTTTAGTTCTATAATTTTACTTATCAGGGTATTATAAATATCATTGCAACAGAAGAGAAGACTATAACAGAATTGGAAGGGATTTTGCAGGTCTTCTAATTCAGCCATTTGCTCAAGCAGGAGATTCTATATCATTTCACACAAATGGCGCTCTCATCTCTTCTGAAAAGCCTCCAGTGATGGAGCACCACAACTTCTGCAGGCAAGCCATTCTACTGGTTACTTGTTCTCACCATTAGGAAATTTCTCACTGCTTCCATAGTGTAAAGGGGCAAAGTAGCAGCCAAGTATTGCTAATAAAATGCCCTTGATCAATTGATCATCAGCAAGCATGACTACATCTGTAAAAGCCAAAATTGTAGGAATTTGTTTGTCTCCAGCATTGAGTTGTGCGTTAACACAATGCCAAAGAATAAAGATATCAGCAATGATCTTAGAGAAAGAATTGTTGCTCTCCATCAATTTGGGAAGGTTTAAAAGGCCATTTTCAAACAACTTAAAACCCATCTTTCTACAGTGGGGAAGATTATTCACAAGTGGGAAACATTCAGGACAGTTGCTGATCTTCCCAGGAGTGGACGTTCAAGAAAATTCAAGAAAGGTTAGATGGTGCAATGGCTAGAGAAATTGTAAAGAGTTATCTCTCAGTCTCTACAGTAGGTCTGCCAAACTCATGGCCTGCGCAGATGGGTCATGTGCTGGCCACCTCCACCTCCGGTTTAGAGAAGGGGGAAAAGGTTATGATATGACACATGATCATGCCATGATGATGCAAGCTTGATACCCCTGCTCTACAAGCTTCAATTAGCATGTTAAATGTTAAGATTCATGACAGTGCAATTAGAAAAAGACTGAACTGTTCGTTTGGAAAGGTTGCCAAGGGAAAGCCTCTTCTCTGAAAAGGTCATAGCAGCACAGCTGAAGTTTGCAAAGGTGCACCTGAACAAAACACAGGACTTCTGGAACACTTGTCCTTTGCACAAACCAGACCAAAGTAGAGATGTTTGGCCATACTACAATTGGGCCAGAGGCCATCTGTCCAAAAGCTAAAGCTTGGCTGACTTAGGATTATGCAACAGAAAAAGGGTTGCAAAACACATCAGCAACTGTAGCAATGTTGTAAAAAGAGTGAGCCAAAATTCCTCCACAACGCTGCAAAAGACTGATAAAGTCACACAGAAAAGCATTACTTCTAGTTGTTGCTGCTAAAGGTGGTTCTACAAATTATTGACTCTTACATTTTTCACACGCGACTTCTCCGTCTTGGCTTTCTTTTTATAAAATAAATGATGATCTAATGTAATGTCAGGTATTGTTCTTCATCTGTGGTTGTATTTACCTACTTTTGAGAACTTCTAAGGACCAAATGATTATTACTATGTTCTGATATGTAAAAATCATAAAAGTCAAGGAAAGTATACTTTCTTTTTCACATGACTGCTTATCTGGAAGTCCTGGGGAGAGAGTATACGTTTGGAGATATGTACATTCAAAGAGAAATAAAAATACACACACCTACAATATGGAGAAAATCCATGTCCTTCAAGCCTGAAAAAGATGGTTACATTCAAACCTTCTGCACTAAAGTTAATCAGGAATCTGATGGATTTGATGATTGCTATCTGTTGAGATGGCAAGGCTGACGGTGCCCCCACAACCTCTGGAGGGGAGCCATTCCCAAAAGATCCACATTCACTTGAGAGAGGCTTTTGAGATCTTCCCCCCAGCAGAAAATTGCAGCCACCAGTTTCACAGCGTGCAGCCCCAGCGGGCTCCGATCTGGGGAGGGAAAGGAACCTGCAGTAGCAGCAGCTGACACGCTTCAGCCCAGTTGCTTCTCTGCTTCCAGGCCGCGGAGGGAACCGAACAGCCCGACTTGCTCCCGGATTCCCCTCCCACCTGCTGCCCCCAACTCACCTGCCAGCTGCTGCTTCGATCCCTGGGAAGAGCACAGAAGCCGCTCTGTCCACCGTCTTCCTCCCATGAGTCATCCGGAAGAGGAAGTTCCTCTGCACTTCTCCTTTCCTCCCAATATTTCTAGCATTGAAATACTCTATGGTTTGAAAACCATTTTTTTAAAGCTCACGCACGAATGGCACTAATGTATTGATGTCTTTCTAGGCACAGGTGTTGCTTGAGTGCCATCTAGCGACAGGAGGTGGAAAAACGCGATTGTCCAATGTCCACCATGGCATTTGGAAGATGTTTTCACTGATTACATGGCAGCAGATGGTTTTCGACCCCTAGCAACTGAGCTTTGCAACTGAGCCCCGTGAAAAAGTGAAACGTGCCGCTACTTACCTTCATTTTTGGTGCCTTCGGGTCAGTCTTGATGCCTGGCCTTGCAGTTTCCTTGGCAACGGTTTTTGGAAGTGGCTCCCCCACCCCCTTTCCTGCTTCCTAGGCCTGAGAGGTCTGGCTAAAGTTGAACAGCTGGTTTTGCCCATCAGGTGGGACTGGAACTGAGCGTTTCTCTGTCTCTAACCTGCTGCCTTCACCACTACACCAAAGTGGCTCTTCTTCCT